ATTGTGGGAAATTTAAAATGGCTGCTTCCAAGTCTGGGTAACTATTTCTATCCTCGGGGGCGGGCATCCAGGCAACCCTCGCGGTGAAAACAAAGGCCAAACACTCGCTGAAAACGGTACTTTGGGATGGTTGTTGAGACTCCTCTGAACAGTGTAACAAGATTAACCCTACGTGTGTAACATGTATAAATTTGGTTGTTCAGGATTACTTCAAAGTTGAGTTTGTGTTGTTTTCTCGAATTTTCACCGGCTCGACCGGCCGGCTAGACCGGCGTTCCACAGCAGCGCGCACAGAGCCCATAGAAATGCATGTACTGAGGTGCGCGTCTTAGCAACGTGGAACGTCTTGTGACGTAGCTCCGCCCCCGAGGATTGCTTGTTTTACAAATCAAAGGTTGTGAATAAATAATATTATCAAAGTACCCTCCGTTTAAGTGTCTAGCATGTATTCAGGAAATTTAGTAACACTCTTAGCCAGGATTTTTCATGGGGGGGGGGGCTTTTTACTATCTGAGGGAAAAGTGACGAACGCGAGCATCTTGGGGGGAGATACTGAATACTAATATCAAAACTGTTGTGATTTTAGTTCCATTTTAGTATAAAATGTTATATTTCAATTTTGTATTTTACTTGTGGTTTTGAAATTGTGAAGGGTTCATTTGTCCGACAACCCATTGTTCCACAACCCGATGTTACAACAACCAATCTGTTTAACAAAGACACAAAAAAAGAGACATACATTGCCAAATAATTATATATTTGGGCGCTAATATTATAAGTCCCCGATCGCTGTGTATTCATCCACGCCGGGGGTATAACGTAGTAAAGAATTACAACATGGAACACTTGCACAAAATGAATTCTTACTACTGTAAAATACTTTATTTTAGCTGTAATTAATTTTCGCTTAAAAGACTTGGTTTCTAAAAATTACATTTCACGCATGATGTAGTATAGGCGAACATGGATGTTTTGTCGGTCCCACCTATATGAAATCTGAAAGCAATGGGGCAGCAGTACCAACTAACAGTGTGCAAGATATTCCTGCGAACACCACAGGGCATATCAACTCATTCTCCTATCCAGAGATCCTATCGGCCAGAACACCGAAAGTATCTCTTCACACACCACCATTTTGTGGTGAAACACCACAAGATATTTACTAACATTTCTGTCCAAATTTGAAGTTTCCATACACAAGAAGTATGTGGGATCTTTATATTTTATACATCTATTATTTGGTTTATTCAAAGTTCATTCCATTTCAATCAAGTATTCGATCATGAATATACATGTACCAAAATTTAGAGCCAGAATTATTTTATGTGTATGTAATTTGAGTGTTGATGTGAAAGTTGTCTTTTATTTAATGGGTGTTATGTTCTTTTCATGTTTATGGGTACGCTGTACACCTACATCTAGTGTGGCAATTAAACATTTTTTTCATTTTGTGATAAGTGTGAGTAAACTTCTGGAATGGAAAAATGCCAAACAAAACAAGAAGAATATTTGTGGGGAAAGAGTAGAGGGGTTCGGGATATTGGGATGATGACAGAGAGTGTCATGACAGACTAAACAAAATAGTGACGTATTGTATTTCACAACAAAATATAGAAGGGCGGTAATCGTCGCGACGCGCATGCGTGAGATATGGGTCTTATATAAACAAAGATGTATTAAAAATTAAATGCAAACATGATAATTGTATCTGCATTGACACGTAGTCAGGCGGACTCGGGCAATATGGGGTCGCATTGAACCACGCTACTCATCAGATGATAATAATCGCCGCACTGCCTTCTGTTAACACCCCCAATTGTGTCATTTCAGTTTTTTGGGGAATCTCAAGGAAATGTATTGCCTGAATAAGACTCTTGAGGATTCTTCTTAAAACTATGTCAAAGCTACAAATACGTCTGTGTGTGACCAGGAAACAATAATTTATTTCATTATTATATCTAAGAAAACACACAAAAATAACAAAAATGAAAATAGTATTGTAATGAAAAAATAACACTTCTATAGTTGTTACAATAACCAATAAATATATTTTTATAACTATGTATTTAGGATAGTTATGCAAGCAGTGACATGGGATATGAAAATTTTACCGAGTTTGGAAATGAGGTGGTTTCTACATTTCGCCTATGCCGAGCACTAAT